ATGTTATGTTATGTTATGTTATGTTATGTTATGTTATGTTATGTTATATAGCTATAACATATTCAAGATCTATGTCTTCGTGGGAACCAAGCTAAATAACTAAAAGAGGTAAAGTCTGGGTAGATAAATCAGGGTATTTTTCATTCTGCTTGTTCATCAAGTAATAAATGCTACAGCAGGAGGCTGTTGCACAGTAAATAGACTGGGATATATAGCAATTATTTCCCCCAAACACAAAAATTTAATATAAGAATAATAATGTTCCAGGTCCTTGAACGTTCTGCAGTTATCGGTGAAACAAATATGTCATCTTGACATGCCGAATGCATGTTAATGAGGCCAAGAACAAATGCATAATAAGAGCTAGTTAATATGGTGTTATGTGGCATGAAAACAAATAGATGACAGTAAAACTGAGTTCTGGAGTAACATGACATTCTGAGTTCTGGAGTAACATGACAAAGACAATTTGAGAGGTTTCTTGGAGGCCTCTCTGGTTTGATTTTACATGTTGTGCCTTGTTTCTGTTATATATCTTGTATCACCATTCAGAACAGTCCTTTTCAAATCTAGTTCTATTGTATAAAAAGTAGCCTTCCAGGAATATCAGAAGAGAAGAGAGATCATTAAGGATAATGAGGCAGTCTAACCATTACAGATTCTTTACTTCCTTTAAAGCACAAGCTGAAATAGAATTTGAATATTAGGATTACATTTTAACTGATAGGAATATAAAGCAAATATCTCAGTAAAATTATGAATTAAACTATTTTACATCTCAAGAAACCATCAATAGAGACTTCTATCAAAGTTTAATTTTGGGGGTCAGGGAGGGAGTGATGACGAGTGAGCTTAGGAAATAAGATGAAATACTTAGCGAGCAATGAAATTTGTAGCAAGGAAAGTTGGCAAGCAACAAAACATGTGTCATGATGCAGAGAGCCAACTTAGAACTTGCATCAGATGTTGGGATTCAAGTAAGTAAGGACAGAACTATGTCATGATGTCACCAATAGCATGCCGTCATTTGTATATCATTGTGGCCAGTTCCATACACATGAGGGTGTATAAAAGTGCAGTGATTCAAAAGTAAACACCAGCTTAGTTACAATGTCAAATAAAGTAGAGCAGACTAAGGAAGAAATTGACTCACTTCCTTCCCGCTAAAAAGTCCGAATAAAATACCAAAATGATGCAAAGCAAATCTCTGGAAATATTTTTAAAACTGAGTACATTTTACAGGCAGCTGGGTTTATTTTTTTTCTTCTTTCCTTTTTAAAAAAACATTGCAATAGGAAAATATTCTAAAATATAGGAAATATATCTTATATATCTTGGTCACTCTAATCTTATTGATTAGAGTGACCAAGTATATTTACAATTTTCTTATGTTTGCTTCTATTTTTGTTCAACTAATTTAAAGATACAGTTCTGTTCCATATAGAATTCTGTCTATATGCTCCATATAGTACCAGGCCATTGCTACTATATAAAAGGAACAGAAAAAAGGGG